TTAAACTTAGATGTAAGTCTCTTTGGAAGAATTAGAATGCTTTCCCTTCTCTTTTTGGATGCACTTTCAGAAGTTCAATTTCTATATTTCTGTTCTATGCAAATGGCTTAAATTTCATCAACCTTCTGGTGCTGAACAGACTTAGAGTTAGGAAATAAGAGTCTGATCCTGCACGTGAGTCATCCCACTGACTTCAGTAAGGAATACTCACATGAGTAAGGGTCTGCAGGATCCGATTTCGGATCTGCAGCAGGTCAGTAACTGTGGCTCCGCTGCAAGAATTAGTGTTGCCGCCAAAAAGCTTGTTCTCTGCAGAAGCTAAAACTACTGACTCTAGATATGAACGGACCGCACGAATGGTAGTTATATGTCTTTATTTGTTTAATTTCCATTCATCAGTTGTACCTGTCTACTTCCTGAAACTCTTTCTATTGATTTAAGTGTGCTTTGGGTCAAACCTTAGGTGCAGAATGGTATACCCATGGTTTTTTATAAATAACATTCAAATAAAGTTCAGCTGAGTCAATATCCACAAACAAGCTCTCTTGACCCACCAAAACTAAAGTTCTAGTCCCTCAACCCACTCAGTACCCAGTCCATGAATTCTCCCAGGAGAAGCCTGTTAAAATACCATGCCGTGGAGGAGGCCCTTGAGATCTAACAATGATCCATCTTAATTTTCTAAGTGTTCAGTTAAGAGAAAAATCCAAAACCAAACCCCATAAAGTATTATTTAATCTCAAAGTGTTTTCCATTTGCCGTAGCTGCCATAGCGGCTGATACCATGATTATAAGTAATTAAATTAAGAAAACTTCAGATTGCAGTGAACCTTTGCAGCAATTCTACAAAATCAAATCTGTCACCTCTGCACCAACGCTATTAGAGTATTGAGAAAACACATTCAGCCACTATGACCTTGTCATGATTTGCATTTAACTAAACCATTTCATGAGCATGCAGATGTGTAATGGAAAAGTGTTTGTAAAAAAGAAAAATGTACATGTAATTCCAAATGAAATTGGATGTAAGAGTAGAACACACCAGACTTCACTCTGTTATCTCCTCATTGCAAGTTTCAAAAAGTCTAATTCAGCTGTATGTCTATTTGTGTGCTTCATCTCTCAGGCAAGCATTGAAAGCAGTGGGTTTGGTTTGGTTTTTATCTTCTCCCAAGTATTAGTTCATTTCAGCCTTGTATGAAGGAAATCAGTCCAAAGGCCTTTAGATTACAAACTGAAATTCTGATTTATTTCAAAAGGAAGAAATTCTGCTACGGAACACTGAATCCCTCACAGTTGAACAAAAACAACAGTGAATCAAGTTATTATCTTGTTATTTTTGCCTAAGGAGCCGAGAGAAATATGCGTATGTCTAATTTAACATTTAATTGAAATCTTTTCTGGAAGCTCTCTGGGAATAGAATTTGTGCTCTGTTAGAGAACTGCCAGTTTTCTTAAGATTGCCCATGTGATTTACTCGAACAGACACACCTCTGAAGGAAGAATCGTTTTCGTTCACAGCTACCACAAATCCAAATTAAAGAGGAAGGAATGTAATGTTCAGATTAATAACTGGAGCATTTTGCTGGAGGCCACTTTGCGAAGTAATGTTGTAAATAAAACACCCTAAATTGAGAGTTTCAAAAGTCTATTAATAGTTGGCAATTCAGTTTCTTTTTATTTAATTTCTGTGCAGATACATTGAACTAAAAGCCTTGATTCTGTCCTTTCTAACCTCTATTTTTGCATAACTCAGGGCAATCTACAGTTCTCTTGTTTAAATTATGTAAAGGGTTGTCCCCACAGACAAACACTGCTGAATGTATTGTATGTTCAAGGGAAAACTGATCAGCTCAATACCCATGTGGAAAAGGTAGAAAAAACATGTGTAGGCAGAGTACACACGCAGATTATGATGAGCTAAGACACTTTGAGAAAGGAAGGATTGTCTGGCGGTTAAGGCACTGAGGTGAGCAACACAAAACTTAGTTTCAATTCACACTTTTGCCACAGATTTCCTGTGTGACACTGGACAAGTTACTTAACCGATAGGTACGTCTACACTGCAAAAAAACCAAACCCATGGCAGCGATCTCAGAGCCCATCTTAACAGATCTGGGCTTATGTGGCTCACACTATGGGGCTAAACATAGCAGTGTAGATATTCCCACTCAGTCTGGAGCCTGGGCTCTGAAACCCAGAGAGAGGGGTGGATTTCAGAAGCCAAGCTCCAGCTCAAGCGGGAACGTTTGCACTGATATTTTTAGCACTGTAGCATGAGCCACGCAAGCTTGAGTCAGTTGACCCGGGCTGAGACTTGGTGCCGCAGGGGTTTTTTGCAGCATAGACATACGGCATTTTCTTCTCTCACCCTTTGTCTGTCTTGTCTTCAGACTGGAGGTTCTTTGAGGCAAGCCCTTGCTCTTACTATGGGTATGTACAGCACTTAACACAATGGGACCTGATCTTGGTAAGAGACTATAGGTAAGTGAGCTGTAGCTTACGAAAGCTCATGCTCAAATAAATTGGTTAGTCTCTAAGATGCCACAAGTACTCCTTTTCTTTTTGCGAATACAGACTAACATGGCTTGTTCTCATTGCATTTAAGAGAGGGATAATTTTCAGGAAGATGAGAGTCTCTTTAACAACTAGGCACATTTGCATGTAATTTCCCCTCAGTTAAACACATTAACTGTGGCCATTTGATGAAAACTACACATTCTCCCAAGTCCCTCACACGGAATGTTAGGGACATGGACTCACATCAGCATCCTGTAGCATGCTAGTGGTTTGGGGGTGGGGAATGGAAAAGCCGAATCCTAGTAACACAGCATAGATAGCCATATTTTATTGCCCTCCTCCAACAGCCGGTTTGATGGGCCGGGACATGTTTGGGTTGAAAGAAGGGATGGAAATGATTGTACTCTTTCGAGCCTCTGGAAATAATTTTCTCCCACATCCCATGGCAGGTTCCCTGCCCTGAAGAGCTTAGGACTTGTTTATCAAGGTACAGAGCACTCGCAGCACCCATTGACTTCAAGTGGAATTGTGGGAGCTCAGCAACTATGAAAATTAGGCTGTAACTATATTGTCTAAGTGGATGGACATAAACACGTGTATAATTTAAGGTAGGAACTAGCTTCATTTTGTGTCTGGTAAAGCATTGAGCATGTTGGCACACCTTCACATCCTTCCATTGTCCCCTATAACACTCAGTTTATTTTATGTACAGTAGAACCGCAGAGTTAGAACACCTTGGGAATGGAGGTGTTCTAACTCTGAACAAAACGTTATGGTTCTTTCAAAGTTTACAACTGAACATTGTCTTAATACAGCTTTGAAACTTTACTATGCAGAATAAAAATGCTGCTTTCCCTTTTTTTTTAATAGTTTACTTTTAACACAATACTGTACTATATTAGTTTGGGGGAGGGAGTTGTCTCTGCTGCTGCCTGATTGTGTACTTCCGGTTCCGAATGAGGTGTGTGGTTGACTGGTCAGTTTGTAACTCTGGTGTTCATAACTCTGAGGTTCTACTGTATGACCAAACTGTTCCTCTAATAGAAATAAATGCTGCTGCGAATGGGATTTTCCATCTACCTCTCATAAGTTGTACCTTCTATTGTCATGTGCATTCATTTATTAACACTTGAGATTTTTGCAACCCCCTTCTTCTTTATGTCCCCATACATTAATATCCTGGGCTATGCATTTCAATATGTCATAGTATTTTTGTGTAAAAATGTATATTTCTAAAGGTATAAAGATGGAGGTTAACTACCATGTTATCGGTCATCCAGAGGCTTTTATTTTAATCACCGAACCATATGGGTTAGAACTGGAAAAGACCTATTAGAGCATCTAGTCCATCTCCCTGCCAATGCAGAATTGGTCTTAACAGTATATTTTCTAGGGTTGATTTCAAAGAATCAAATACATTTGAGCTCAGCAGGCAAAACTGCATATGCAATGCAGTAGCATCAATCCTTCATTGGTCACACATCTTTACCATCTTGATTTAAGCCTCACAGGACATCAATAACCAAATGACACTAGCAAAGCTGCCTCATTTTAGCCAGAAGCAACCTTAACATTTCAACGTCTATTATAATGATTAACCAAAAAAACCCAAAACAAAACAAAAAACCAACACCACCACCATCACACCACCTCTGCAACAGAAAAATTCCTTATTCTAAAGTTAATGTTCACACTGGCTGATTTGTCGGGAGGTTTAAAGACTTGAAATAAGCCTGCACGCATTCTAGACCTACATTTCTGATGTGAGTGGGGCTGAAATTCTAAGAGGAAGGGGCAATTTAAATTAAAACATATATTGATTGTTGATGATTGCTGACATGTCATGGTGCGGTCCTTTTCACTTCACCTGGTAGCCTGTGCTAATACTGAATTGCATCTCAATGACAATAATTTCCAAAAGATAAACTCCAACTCTGTGGTCAAGATATGTTCTAGGGAGGGATTATTTTTTGTTTTGTTTTGTTGTTTTTAATGTGGCATTAAAGGAACTGTTTGCTAGCTGCAATTTGGGACATGGATTTCTGCACTCACCCCAGCAAGAGTTTAAGTGTAGTGTAATACTGCCAAAGCATCAGGAAATTAATTGGTCCCTCATTCTATGTAACCTAATGTTTTGTTAAAAGGTCAGGAGCTGCAAAGGTTTGTTTGAATAACCTGTGAGCTTTACCAATTATAAAAAATGTACTGGCTAAAATTACAGGTAAGCAAAAAAGTGATATATTTCACCGGCTCATTTATTATACAGCAGCAGTGTGCATCACTAATCAGGAGCTGTTCCATCAAAGAGCATAATTACTTTAACTTGTTAATTTTTTTTAATATATTTAAAAATGAATTGCTAACTCCGTTCAAGTCAGTTCCACAAAGCTCCCTCCACAGCCCTCTGTTCCTGTATGGAAATAGCATTAAAATTCACTCTGCAAAAAGAAAACTATGTTTAAATAAATCTGATCTCATACCTCTTGTGTTTTGCTGATTGATGGTCGTGTAATTGGCAAGGTCCCGAACTCCAGATTAGTAGGCTGATCAAAGAAAGGTGTATAGTAAGTCGCTGTCTGTTCCACCTCTCCTGGAAGCACTAATGACCCTGCTGAATACAAAACACTTGACTCAATCCTTCCACTCAACGTATAATTTAGCAAAATCATACTCTAAAACCTTGCAGAGCTCAGAAGCTCAGTAGCACTTGTGTTATACTTTTCTTGTTCTACAAAATATAATACAGGTACTTATCTTTAGAGCAGATGCAGTCCTGAACCAAAAGCCAGATCAAAAAAATGCCTATACTTTGGGGAAGTCAAATTGGATTTGAACTTGATGGCTGGCCCCAATTTCTCAAATAAGTTAAATCAAAACCATATATCGTGGAGACCCCCAAACTCTCAGGAAGTTTGGGTCTGGATGCCCCTCTATTCAAAAGAGGAGGCAAGGGCCAGTGCAGAAGTCAGTGGCCTGGGAGCCCGAGAACGTGGGTTCCATCCCCAGCTCTGACCCGCTGGGTGACCTTTGGCAAATCACTTCACTTCAGTTTCGCCATCTGTAAACTGGATAGGATGGAGCCTGTCTCAGTGGATCCTGGAGACAAAGACTTCTTCTACCCCCTGGGGTGACTTGTGGGTTTGGGGGGGCACCTGGGAGGTGCAATGTTCCAGTCACACCTCTTCACTTCCCAGTTTAAATTCAGGAGATGAATTTATGTAGTCCCATTGTCCCGTTTAGGTGATGGATGTCCCAGGGAGGCCTAGCTTCATCTGAAGATTGTTTATTGTGTCAAAGTCAGCAGGAATATACACAGTGGCTTTGTAAAAGGGACTCTTCTTTATTAAAGAGTTGAAGCTCATCCCCCTTGGGATCTCAAATTAGATTCAAATCATGAGCCAGAAGATGAAAGTCCAGGAATAAAAGTTTTTACCTTTCAGCCTTATTTCTTTGTAGTTTGTTCCATAAATCTTTGTATCTTAGGGGTTTGTATTGGCTCTCATTTCCATAATATTTGAGCATCTTCTAGGTCCATTAGATTGAAAAAGCCTTTTGAAAGGCAGAAAGAACCTGGATAAGGTTGCTAATAGGTGTGTGCTAAGCCTTGACATGTTCAACCACTCATAGACTTTAAGGCCACAAAACCATCATGATGATCTAGTTTGACCTCCTGCACATTGCAGGCCACAGAACCTCACCCACCCATCGCTATAACAGACTTCTAACCTCTGGCTGAGTTACTGAATTCCTCAAATCATGATTCAAAGATTTCAAGTTACAGAGACTCCACCATTTACATTAGTTTAAATCTGCAAGTGACCCTTGCCCCATGCTGCAGAGGAAGCTCCTTCCATTATTCATCAATTCCAAGGCCAGAAGGGTCCACTGTGATAATCTAGTCTACCCTCCTGCACCACACAGGCCATGGAACTTCCCAGAACATATCATTTAGGAAATGATCCAACCTGAACTTTAAAATGGTCAGTAATGGAGAAGCCACTACGACCCTTAGTAAATTGTTTCAGTGGTTAATTACTGTCACTGTTAAAAAAGCATGCTTTATTCCCAGTCTGAATTTATCTAACTTCAACTTTGAGCCACTGGATCATGTTTTATCTCTGTCTGCTACATTGAAGAGCCAGTTATTAAATGTTTGTTCCCCATGTAGGTGTAATAGATATGGCAATTTCCTGTGGGATCTTTGGGAGATCTTACTATATTATGTTTATGTATCATTCTGAGCCAGGGATTGTATATAATTCCATGATGGAGGGTGACCACAGTCCTTCAGGAATTAAGAACAGTGGTGGGATGTGAGACTGGTCAGACCAATTTATTCATGTTGTAACACCTGCAGAGAGGTACCACCACCTGGAATGGCTCACGTATATTCGATCAAATTGGATTCTCCAGAGACCAACAGACAAAGAAAGGACTTTTGGATAAACAACCTGAGTTTACACTGTGTCAGGGTCTTCGTCCTGATCCAGCAAACAGACAGAACCTTCTCTCCGGGGGAGGGGAGCAATCCTTAGGGAAGGGTAGGGAGGACTAACATCTGCCAGAGCTCTTATTGGAGTTGGGAGGAATCAGCAACCTTTGGCACGTGGCCCATCAGACAAACTTGCCGGCGGGCTGGGACAGTTTGTTTACCTGCAGTGTCTGCAGGTTCAGCCGATCGCAGCTCCCACTGGCCACAGTTCACTGTACCAGGCTAATGGGGGCTGCGGGAAGCAGCGCGGGCCGCAGGCTAAAGGTTGCCCATCCCTGGAGTTGGGGATGATCTCAGGTAAGCTTATTAGCATACATGTAGGTACTTTTATTGTTTTTAATGTTTTCTCTGCAATGCTTTTATATTAATAACTGTGTTTGATTATATAGGGTTGTGTGGCCTCTGAAGATAAAACAAAGTGCAGCACTGGTCTGTCTAGGCAGGGAATTCACAGTGTAGGCAGGGAACCATGCAGCCTAGAAAAACCCTAGTCAGGAGGGAGACAGACATGGCCTCCACCCAAGAGACGTGATACCTGTGAGCTGGAAATCTAAAAGTTGGTGCCCTTGCTGGATCATAGAGGGGAGATATAGTTAAAGTTGTCCTGAACCGTGAAAATAGGTACTTATAGACTGTAATCAAGTCAACCTTTGACCTTCTCTTTGTTAAGCTAAATAGACTAAACTCCTTGAATCTATTACTATAAGACTTGTTTTCTAATTCTTTAATCATTCTCATGACTCTTCTCTGAAATCTCTCCAATTTAGCAACATCCTTGAATTGTGGACACCAGAACTGGACATAGTATTCAGCAGGAAATACAGTGGGACTAGTAACCTTTAGTGCCAAATACAGAGGTAAAATAACCTCTCAACTCCTGCTTCAGCTTCCTAGGATCCAAGGATTGCATGAGCCCTTTTGACCACAGCACCACACTGGGAGCTCATGTGCAGCTGATTGGGGGGCCTGGTGGCAAAATCTTTTTTAGAGTCACTGCTTCTCAAGATACAATCCCTCCACACCCGTCCTGTAAGAGTGGCCTACATTCTTTGTTCCTAGATGTATACATTTACATTTAGCTATATTTTTGTGTTATCTGCAAACTTTATCAGATATGATAAATTTTATGATTTTATATTTGATTTTATATTTTCTTATTCATTAAAGGTCATTAAAAAAACTTAAATAGTGTAGGACCAAGAACCAATCCCTGCAGGACCTCACTAGAAACACACCCATTCGTTTATGACTCATAGGGATCAAAACTGTTCCTTTGCTACAGAAGGAAGAAGTGGGCCAACATCTAAATATGGTGGGATCTCCCCCAACTTGTTTCAAATTCACTTGCTCAATGTACTTATTGCAGGAGGCAGGCCTGAGCATTCCCTCCTGATGTATATCGTTGATCATTTCTGTATAAAGAACAAATATACCACTGTTTATTCCCAATAGACCAATTTATGGAGAGAGAAGGGGAGGGAAACCCCCATAATGAAACCATCTGGCAAGATCTCCAAAAGACAACACTTACAAATTAGGACAACAGAAGGAAATTTATTTTTGCTTTCAGCAAGAAGTGCTTTGTCATACTCAGGATGTCAGTCCTAATTTTTTAAAGCTTGTTAGTAATGCAAACAATGTTTCAGATTTCTTTCAATTATCACCATAAGAATGTGGTAAACAACCTTTGTTTGCCAGTAGATATGTCAGAAATGAGCATTTTCTCTGTACCCTGGCTGTGCAACAGCAAATGAGAGCCTAATCAGTAAATGCTGCTTTCTTTGGTAATGTTTAATCAAGAAACTCCTTCAGAGAGAAAAATTAGGGAGTCTTGACAGCCTTCCTTCCTAGTGGGAGGTTCCACAGGAACTGTAGGATTCTGTAAGATCTAGCCAGTACCTCACAGCTGGCTTAGCCCAATGCTACAGCACTAGTGGAAGATCATGATCCTAATTAAGCTACTAATTACATTGTCACTGGAGGTGATTAATTAGCAACAGGACTGCCTTGGACGCTGCCAATGACAGCATATAGATAGAGGTAACTGAGGAGGTACTGATATCAGAAAAGCAAGAAGGATTTGGAATGCACCTTGCTTAATACTGTGGAGAATCACCTTCCTGGATGATGTGGTTGTGAAATCCTGGGATTCTAGTAACATACAACACAGCACAGCAGGGCAGATTCGGAAACTGAACAATTCTCTTATCTTTAGTCTTCGGTGTTATGATGGATCAGCAGCAAGTGCTTGCTAAATCAGTGAACACTGTTAAATGAGCCAGTTTCTTAGGTAGTTATGTAGCATTGACATTTTAATTAAACTTAAAAAAAACAAAAGCTAATGTTATGGATCTGGTCTGAACTCACAAGTGTGAAGAAATTCAAAGTCTTGACTGTTTATCTTCATTATAGCCCGCCATGTTTAACTATAGATGGGCCCAAGTAGGTTACCACTTTCAGAACTCACCTGACAAAAATATTTTGCTAAGGGGTGTCAGGAGGTTTGGTAAATAAATAGGGAAACTCAGCTTTTAAGCTTTCTACCTCCTCTGATTCTCAAGTGTCGGGCTATCAGCCCTAGAGAGCTGCATCATGTGAAACTGTCTTGAAGCGGTGCTAAAACTGCAGCGGCTGGGAACAACAAGCTATTCGTGGATTTTTTTCCCCCATGTATTAAAAAAACCTCACAGTACTTACTCTGAATCTGGTTCCCCAAGCTGTTTTATTGCATGTAAATATCAGTTCAAAATGGAAACAAGGAAGCATGGATTCTGTAAAATAATGGGTAATGATCCATTTCACCCACAGAAAAACTTAAAGTGGTTGTTAACTGATGATATCTGGCCTGATTTTTCAGAGGTACTAAGCACCTACTGCCCTCATTGTCTTCAGCTGGAGTTGTGGGTACTCAGCACCTTTGAAAATCAGGTTTATATGTCCTGTGGTCCTAAACCAGCTCAGTGCTAGGTTGTGATACCTTTACCCATGTGGAATAGTTTGTTACTCTTCAATTACATTGATTCCAATGGGACTATTTGCGGAGGAAGATGCCACTCAATATGAGTGTATTGCAATTAGACCTTTAGGCCCCATTCTGTAAATGCTTACATACATCCCTA